TGTAATTAGAACAAACAATACTACAGGTAGGGATCTAGGTAGAAAAAAGACAAAAAGTATAACCTTAAGCAAAAGCATATGAATGTATGTATGTACATATCGTCGTTTAGAGTGCAAAACCGCGTGTCAACAAGATGCAAAACCGCGTATCAGCAAATTGCAAACCCGCATATGTGAAGTTGTAGAAATTATTTCCTAGGGCGTAAAAACACTCATATTTCAAAATGGTTCTCTTTTTTTATAAAGTAATCGCATTTCTGGCTAGTATATTTCAGGACGAATGGATAAGGATTGAGCCAAGAGCTTGTGTGAGCAAACTCAATTTTTGGCAGCCAATGTCAGTTACGCGGTTTTTCAGAACGACGATACGCGGTTTTGTAATTGAAACGACGGTATTTATGTACAAAAAAAAGGTATATATATATATATATATTTCATGATTAAATGATCGGATCTAAACCAAATTAGGACCACCTCTGAGACACTACCTTTCCGTTGCAAAAAGAATAATCGAAATCGGTTGACGTGGTCCAAAGTTATGCGGTAACATACATAAAAAAAAAAAACATTCCGACGAACTGATAACCTCCTCCTTTTTTGGAAGTCGGTTAAAAAAAGAGATTCGTATCGTAAGTTTCACTTCTCCAGTGTAGCCCAGGCGCGCTTACATTCTTTTGCTCAAAAAGGCTTGACAACCGTTCTCCTTTGTCACGAAATTTCCTCCGTTCGCGTAAAAAAATTAAAAGTCCTATATCTAACTTATTTATAGGCCGATTTGGCTGCTTTTTATAATATACAAGCAGAGCACCCGACGTCGTCCGGGATAAACAAATCAAATATATAAAACAGAATACAAATATTCAGTTCAGCATAAATTAGAGGAGAAAACTATTTTCTTTCGGTTTAAATTCAGGCATCCTTATGAGCCAAATTTTTAGCTTTCTGTACTACAAATCTTGTTCCATTATATATATTAGGCGAATTAAGGTAACGATAGAATTTTTAAATTAATTTACTACGGTACATTCCATTTAGCTGCCTATTCGCTTAGCTGCTTTAGTATAGCTGTACTTTTTCGGTAGAATGCTTATTTCGGAAGAAGTTTTATTCATTATGAATTAACATTTTTCGTTTAACAGCATCGCGGAATCAAAGAAACGATTGAACGATTGATCTAAAGAATGTAAGCTTTCAAAAGAACACAGTTTTAAATATCCGAGTTATCTAATAGATGAATACATATGTATTTATTCCACTTTTACAAAGTCATTTATATATACGTTACTGTAAACATCTCCCATGTTTGTGTCTGCATACCAAATTTCAATTTCATGTGACTTATGGTCTTGAAGTTATAGCTAGTTAAAGAAAAAAGTCTCAGCATTCTTAATTTTTCGGACACAACAACAAAAAGTTTCAAATTTTTTTAAATCGAAAAACCTTTTACACAGAAGGTCCAAAAAAGTACTTTTTACAGAATTTAAATCGGTTCAGCCGTTTGGTCAAGCTTCGCCGCAAACATTTCACCGGAAAACATTTAATTTTTATATACAGTGACGAGCAAAACTGTAACATGGTGTAACACTTTTTATTTCAGTCACCGCTATGTTTCCAAGTTCTAACGACTCTCATCCTTTTGTTGTATCTTCTTGTTGGTACACCCCTACTCCCTCTCTCATAACGATTTGAAGTCAATACAACAACAATACAAAACAAGTAAGAAAGTCTAAGTTCGGGCGGAGCCGAACATTAAATACCCGCCGCAATTATTAAATATATGTTTTTCACCTTTCCGAAAGCTACCGCTACATGGAAAGCCGGGGTGCATCAATTTTGAGTAAAGTAGCGTCCTTAAACTTCGAAATATTGAAGATTCAAGCATTTCTGAAATTTACCGTTATATGAAAAATTACCGTAATTTTAGTCCGATTTCAACAATTTTGAAAGTTTTACTTCTATGTGACCAGCCAAATAACCATACCGAGTTTGGTACAAATTGGTAGAACAGTTACCGAGATACTTATATGTGACCATAAGTGGACGGTGCCACGCCTATTTTCCAAAATTTTATCATAAACGTATTTCTTGGTAAAGAATTGTTGCAAGCATCAATTTTGAATAAATTAGCTTTAATATTTACTGATTTATCGAAGATTTTGTATTTCTCTAAATTACCGTTATATGGGATGTGGGCGTGGTTATTGTCCGATTTTAAAAATTTTCGGCCATTTGGTATGCTGTACCAAGGCCAACAAATGTGCTAAGTTTGGAAGAAATTGGTGCAGCAGTTACCAAGATATTTAACATGTAACCATAAGTGGGCGTGGCTACGCCCACTTTCCAAAAATTTATAATATTCTTATTTTTCGTCTGAAAATTATTGTAAATATCAAGTTTAAGTAAATAATAAAGTGAAAATATCGCAGTTTTCGTATATCTGGAAATTACCGTTATATGGGAAGTGGGCGTGATTACAGTCCGATTTCGCCCATTTTCAATACTATCCGTCCTACGCCCGACAGAAGTGCACGTACCAAGTTTCGTTACGATATCTCAATATTTACTCGAGTTATCGTGTGCACAGACGGACGGACGGACGGACAGACAGTCACCGCTTAATCGATTTCTCTTTTCATTCTGATCATTTATGTATACATTTGTCTATATCTATCTCGATTCGTTTTGCCTGTTACAAACAACCGTTATGTGAACAAAGTTATAATACCCTTGTGCACAAGTGCGCTCGGGTATAAAAACAGCAGCCAAGAATGTATATTAAGGCCAATGTTACAGTTTTGCACTCACTCTCAGTTTTGCATTTTACAGCTATCTTTTACTTAGTTGGAAGTCAGAAGCCTTTCTTCTATATTGTAATTTATTCAAGAAGTTATCACCAGTAAATAATATGTTAATCAGGAAAAATAATTTAACTAGTAATTTACTGCGGAAAGGCGGGACCGCAGGAAAAGTGGCATAAAATTGTGGAGTTTGCCACATGAAAATGCTAAGACTGAAAAAAAATATAGCCTAAAGTGTTACTTAGGACAAAAAAAGTCTGTAAAAAAATATTGCGGTCCGATATCTTGTGAACTTAGTAGCAAGTAGCGCTGCAGCCACTATTACAGCGCACATGTTCGTCTTGCGGTGCATGTTCGTCGTTTGTAGGGCGGTTCACGAGCATGCTCGCAAAAAATGAAACAAATTTTGATTTTTAGCGAGCTGCTCGTCGTTTGTAGCGTGGTTTGCGAGCATCGCATTGGAAACAAAAACAACAACCTCATTTTGTGTTGATGCGGCGGATAAATGCATCCAAGCCATGTGCGTTATTTGAATTTTCGATAAATGAGGCTAAATTACTATAAGTATATGTATGTACATATATACAAGCAAAATATAAATAAACTTAAGTAACACATACATAAACAAGTGATTTTTAGCAAAAAAAACCGACTTCAATTCTCATATTAAAAAAATTAGATATATAACTATATATATCTCATGATCCACTGATCGGATCTTAACCAGATTATGGGACCACCTCTCAGACACTGCCTTTCTGATGCAAAAAGATTTATCGAAATCGGTTGACGTGGTCCAAAGTTATGCGGTAACATACATAAAAAAAATAAAAAAAAATAAATAAAAATGAAAAAAATATTCCCACGAACTGATAACCTCCTTCTTTTTTGAAAGTCGGTTAAAAAGCTAAGTTAAAAGCATTGCAATTGCATCATCCGCGTCCTTACTAATCATCTTTACGCTACCACGACAAAATCACATATGAGCCGCTCAGCGTCTGTGGCAAACGACAGCGAGCATGTTGGTGCACATATGCGCGGAGATGTTCGTCGTGTGTAGCCAGTTTAAGCCTGCTCACATTAAAAACGGGAGATGAACGAACACCAGCGTATAGCGTACGTACGATACTTAAAGGGCCGTTTACATAAGACTTTTGCTTCGCTTTGCTTCATAATTCCGCTTTGATAGATAAGTTCAATACATGATTTTATACGAGTCTTGCTAAATATAATGCAAGGAAAGCAAAGCGAAGCAAAATCATCGGCAACTCTCAACTTTTGCGCGCTTTGGCCATCGGCTGTCTACATGTATCTTTTCTCGTGCGCTTGCATTTGCATTTAATGGCAAAAATAAGGTAAATAGGATTTATTATTGCTATTATTAATGCATATTATTATATTGTTAATATTTAATTAAAACCGTTCGTTAACTTGCAGTGTTCTGTCAGGTTGCCAGTAAGAGCTCTAAGTTCAAGGTGTCTTTCGGAGTTCCTGCTGGAAAGAGTTATGCATATGTTTGATTGTCTTATTCCCTTTGACTTCCGCCAGTCGGCAGCAATTTGAGATTATTCCCAGCTAGCTCCTAAGTAGGTCTGCAGTGTATCCTTTAGATGTACCACAGAAAGGCTAGGGACCATGCAAACGCATTTGGGCTTCACGCTTTGCGAGACAGTCAGCCCTTTCGTTGCCTTCAAACCCTTCATGCGTGACGCTATTGTGGGCTCGCAGGTGGTTTAAGAGTTTACAAGCCTTGATGCCGTTTTAAAAGACTCTAAGGCCTTCAACGGTGCCTGAATGTCCGACATAATATTTATTCTGGCCTCATTTGCCTTCTACGATGACATTCGCGAACACAGACTTCGATTGGGAAGACTTCCGCCTGAAATATGGTTGAGTACGAGCGCATTGGCAGACTTTTCTGGAATCTTGGTCCAAGTACGCCATAAATTATATCGCTACCTAAAGGTGAAAGGTGCTAAGTCCATTTTTTTTTGGTTTAGTTTTTGATGCAGAATGACAGGTAATACGAAAATGGACTTGGCACCTTTTCACCCTTAGGTCACGATATATGCATGTCCTTATTCATGGGCGTAGCCAGGTAGGGGCAGGGGGGTGCCCCATCCCCAGTGCCTCAGTCGTATCCATACGCTGCTGCTGCACCGTCATCAACCGCAGCACATCCATCGTCACCAACCGCTGTACCTTTACCGTCACCATCGCCTCAAACTTCGTCACCGCTTTCGTCGTGGCCAGTTCTTCGCCACTTGACACTTCGAACATATCTTCGACTGCAGCTTCCACATCCTCTAAAAGGAAAAGAAATTATATGGGTGAGGTGGTGCAACTAGCTAAAGAGCAAAACGAGCTGTTAAAAGTGGTCATAGACGACGGAAAAGTTTTAACAGCAGAATGCGTTAATGCTATTAAAGAGCAAAGTAGTGCTACAAAAGAATTCATTAGTTTAAAGAAAAGCGTTTTGGAAAAAATGTAACTTTAAGTAGTATACATATGTATGTTTAAACACTCATGAACAAAAAAAAATTGGTGTGCGGCATTTTGATAAATTTTGTTGGTATTTGGCTTTTGTTTATTTAATGTTTATTAACATTTTATAAAATTCTAGCGTTTTATATTACAAAGAACATATGTAAAATTCCACATTTCAAAGTTTCGAATTCATAAAAACTGTTTTAGTAATATATTTAGACAAGTTTTTGGTATGCAGTTTTTTAAACCATTAAATTCTAGTATATTAAGTGCATCTTTAAGTAGCTGAGGATTCGAGCTGATTTTTAATAAATCTTTCTGCTGACCATATAAGGAAAATGTTTTCGCATACTCTATATGCGTAGAACCGTCAGCAAAAAAAATTATTAAAAATCAATGCGAATTCTCAGCCGCTCTGAAGATACACTTAATACACTAAAATTTTATGATTTAGAAAACTGCATACCAAAAAATTGTCTAAATATTCTGCTAAAAAAGTTTTATAAATTTTTCTACATTTTGTACAAGCTTTAAAGTGTGGAATTTTACTTATGTTGTTTGTTGTACAAAACGCTAGAATTTTATAAAAAGTTAATAAACATTAAATAAAAAAATCCAAATACAACCAAAATTTATCAAAATGCCGCACAACCATTTTTTTTGTTCATGAGTATACTTATATGTAGGTATGGCAAAGTTGGAGGTGATCTGCCTACTCAAAAAAGACAAAAAAAGTAGAATAAAAATTGATTTAATTTTGGTTTTAATCTAATTTTAGGCACATATATATGTATTTATGTAAGCAAAAGTGAATTGAAATAGAAAATAACTGAAAAGGAAATGAATTTAAATAAAAATAACTACTGCGAGCAGCAAAATAGAGTCTTTTTACTTACGAAAACTCATAGCAATGGCATTCCTTATAGCCGCTGCTGTTAGGTCATTTTCACCAACTCTTGTTGTGTGATTAGGTTGATTCCTTGCTGATCCGTATTCTGCTGCATCCTGCATCCAGACGGAAGAAACTTCATCGTTCTCAAGTTTTAAAAAATTGTGTAAAATACAGCAGGCCTGTATTATAACGTTAACATTTTTAGGTACTACTTGTAAGCCTCTCCCTATTTTTCGGAAACGAGCCTTCAGCTGGCCGAAAGCATTTTCGATCACACGCCGACATTTGGACAGTCGATAGTTAAAGAGTTTTTCAGCAGCTGGTTGGTTAGCTACATATGGATATGGTTTCATCATGTGGCGCGATAACCGAAAAGCCGAATCGCCCATAAGTAGCACAGGTATATTGAATCCGCCAATAAGCTCGCTATTTTGTACGAAAATGTCTGCGCTTTCATGAAGTTGTTTTAATGAACTTTTTTCAAATATGTAAGAGTCATTATTTCTTCTAGTAGATCCAATGTTAATATACTTAAATTTTGACCTGTAAGTCCAAATAATTTAAAAATATACATATGCATGCGATACAGTGCAGCCATAAATTTACATACCTGTGATCACAGCTTGCCAATAAAACCACGGAATACCATCCTTTGTAATTGTGGTAATCTACGGCATCGTCCTTTCTTGGCTGCACTTCAATGTGACATCCATCTACAGCTCCAAAGCATGGCGGAAACCCTAGGACTGCGAAACCGTCTACGATTCTTTTGATTTCTTGTTGATTTGGGGGGTATGTATTAATGCAATCCGCAAAATTATCGCAAACTGAGTGGCAAAAATCAAGAACAATTTCACCAACAGTACTTCGGCCAACACCAAATAAACTAGAAACGGTTTTATACTCTGCTACAGAACCCAATGAGAAAAGTGCGATAGCCACCCTCTTTTTGAGTGGAATACAACGCCTCAGGTTGCTATCAATTTTCTCTATGTTTCGTACTTTTTCGCACACTTTTTGAAAAGCCCTCCTATCGAGACGAAAGTTTTCTCTGAATCTTGCGTCGTCCATTGCACGGACATCGTGCTCCCAAAATCTGCTACTGCGGTCCTTTAGGGATACAACTAATGGCTAAAATCCTTATAAAAGAACATTTTTACTTACGAATTTCCAGATCCGCCGTACGTCGGACTGGGCATTTGCAATCCTGGCTCGTAGGATCGCGTGACTGCTCAAAATAGAATTTATTTGCGCCCTATTATTTATTAATTTAAGTAATAGTAACTGAATTTTTTCACAAAATAAAACTTGATTTTTTACGAACAGAATAGCTGTCAATAACAAAATTTTTCTTCTATCCATTTTCACTTGGCGATTACAGAAAACAAAAAATTCTTCAATATCAGCTGTTTAAATGCACAAAGTTGCCGTATATGTACACTCTAAAAAGTGTATGTAAATCTATACTGTAAAGTATCTATTTTTCAATAAGAATCTGTATAAATATATGTATAAGATGTTCAGGATTTGATTTTGAACTCGAGATCTTCGGAATATACTCATAAATATACATATGAAATGTTTGAAATTTCAAAAATTATTAAACTAAAAATACATTTCCTAACAAATATTAGGGGCTCACATTTACTCTATTTTAAACACTTTATGTGTAATTTTACTCATTGCGACAAATTTGGTATGTAAAAGTAAACAGGCTGTGTTTAATTTTATTACACGGTGTGCAAATTGGCACACATTAAAAGAGGAAACTGGTTACCCCTCTTAATATGCACAAATAAACAAAAAAAAATTAGGGTGTATTTAAAGTATTTTCAGTAAAATTCTTACAAATTTCCTCAAATAAATCAAATCTTTTAACCGACTTCCAGTTCGTCGGAATATATATACTTCTTTTTTATGTATGTTACCGCATAACTTTGGACCACGTCATTTGATTTCGATAATTCTTTTTGCATCGGAAAGGTAGTATCTCAGAGGTGGTTCCATACTAATCTGGTTTAGATCCGATCATTGGAACATGAAATATATATATATATATATTTTTTATATGAGAATTGAAGTCCGTTTTTTTTTTGCTATACATTACTTCTTACATTAACAGATGAAAATATGTGATATGAAAGAGATTACTACATAAAGAGTATCTATATACTTTATATGTATATATCTTTATATATATTATGATCTTGCTTAAAGCATCCTTTTTAGCTAATTAAAACCATTGCGCTTGTACCTATTTTGGTAAGATCTCTTCATATGTTCACTGCTTCATTCAAAAAATTAAAATCATGGACCAAAAACAACTCTCGAATTTACAAATTGAAAACGTTGCCAGAATTCGGAAATTTAACGAAAACGTTGTTTCATAACAGTTATTAGATGAGAAATATTTTTTCCGTTGCTGATAAGAGTTATTTCCCAACGTTTATTTTTTACGTTGCTTGAAAACAGTTATTGCCCGACGAATATTTTTACGTTATCTGATAATAGTTATTTCACTCTCTCACTTTTATTTCATCGCCTTTATCTTATTCTCCATCTCCATCTCCATCAACAACGTAAAAAATAAACATTGCAAAATAACTCTTATCCGGCTACGTAAAAAATAAACGTTGGGAAATAACTCTTATCGGCAACGGAAAAAATATTTCTCCTGCATAACAGTTATGAGGCAACGTAAAAAATAAACGTTGGGTAAATATTTCTCATCTAATAACTGACTGTTATTGAGTAGCATTTTGCTATAAAACTTATAACTGTTATGTCCCTTATTTAAATGCTTTTATTTTACGCTTAAGTAGTGATTTTTAATATATTTAGAAAACGTAATGCTTTCTACCATCTTTAATGAAAATCGATTTTTGAACGAAAAAAACTTTTTAGAACCTATAAAATTTTGGCTTATTTAAACAAGTATCCACATTTATACTGTTCGGGAAAAATAAGTATCTCGCAAAAACTCGTCTAAAAATGTATCCAATTGGATCTGGTTTAGATCCAAACGGCATCCTTGATGGCAAGCTTCCGGAAATCGAGGCTGGGAAAAATATTCCCGTGATCGATTTAGTTTTTAGAAGCCATTGTGAGTTTTAAAATAAGTTAATTTCCTCTTAGTTTAGTAGATTTCTTCGAGTTTTTTTGGTTCTTTGCGGAACCGTCAGGCAGCCGGAGCTCGAAATTGAACAACTGTGAATTGATATGTAAGTGTTGGTACTGTGCTTTTTTAGTGTGTTTATATAAAATGGCGCGTAGAGTTCCTGCTTTTCGAACCGAAGAAGAGCTTGCCGATTGTAAATTCGATTGCCTGGTCGGAAAGTGAAGATGGTGATGATTTCTCTGTTGATGGCAATGATTATGACCCGGATTTCGACTTTATGGCTGCTTTGCGCAGCAGAAATACAGAAGAAAGTGAGCAAGTAGGCGATTTGGATGGCGAAAACGAATCGCTGGAAATAGCTGATGGCCAGAACAATGCAGCAGTCTATGTCGATATGGGTAATTCAAGTATTGAAACAAATCACGGTGTGCCACTCTCACGAAAGCTTTTATTTGTTTCTAAGTAAATGTGTTTGTTTTAGATCTTGAAGAAGAGCCAGTTATTGTTGGGGATCATTCCCGATGGCGAGAATATGCGACAATGTTTGAAGGCATATCGATTGATAGAGAGTCTAGTGTTTTCAAAAAACCGTTGTGGACGTCTTCAGTTGTATTCGAATTGGGTAAAATTTCGAGGAGATGACGCTTTGACACCGGAAATATTGGCATTTAGTTCGCCGTTGCAGTTTTTTGCTTTTTTATATCAGACCATATTATTTCGAATATCGTCGAGCGGAGTAATTTGTACTATGGTTTTAAACCCATTATGGGTTGCATGCCACGAAATCGTCACGATAAGATTTGCCAATTCTTGCACTTCAATAATAACGATACAATACCGCGTCGTCATCGTGCTCAAGAGCCGTCGACAACTTCTGACCCGGATCATTCGACATCATCCGATCATCAACAACCGATATCATCCGAAAATGCACGCAGTCGCAGATGTAATCGTGTGGCAGAGGCAGTCGAAATGTAATGGACCGATACCACAAATCGATCCAGGCTACGATCGACTGTACAAGATACGTCCGATCATCTCCGCATTGAACAGAAATTTTCAAAAAGTGCCAAAACGAGGAAGATTGTGTGTTGATGAGCAAATATGTGCGACCAAAATAAAACACTATCTGAAGCACTACATGCCAGATAAACCGCACCCGTGGGGTGATAAATTGTTTCTTTTATGCGATGATTCTGGATTTTGCTATGCATTTGAGATTTATTCCGGTGACGACGACCACCGCGAGAAAAACGAAACAAATTTGGGTGCGTCTGCAAATGTTGTTGTAAGATTGGCTCGCTCGGTTCCTCGATTCGAAAATCATACCATATATTTCGACAATTATTATACGTCGATTCCGTTCATGGTTTATTTGCGAACACAAGGGATCTATTCGCTTGGAACTGTTCGCCGCCCACGACTTCAATTATGCAAATTACCGCAGAAATTTGCAAACCGAGGTGACTACGAAGAGTATGTTGGAACGTTTCATGGAATCGATGTCACAACAGTGGCTTGGAATGATAATAAGGTTGTAAATATGGCATTGACATTGTTTGGAGTGAACCCATATCTTTCGAGCGATTGTCAAACGCCCGAGAAGGCACCAAACGTTGAGCGATATAATAAAAATAAAAAGATCATGGAAAGCATTCAATGTCCAAATATTATTCATTAATACAATAAATACATGGGCGGTGTTGACCTTTTGGATTCGTCACTCGGCCGCAGTCATATCCGTATAAAGTCACGGAAGTGATCGAACCGCTTGATCTATGACATGTGTGATATGGCCATGATCAATGCCTGGGTCTTATACAAGAGGCATCACGCAGTGACTAATCAAACAGATAACAAGAAAGTATTGCATGAGTTTGTTTCTGAGGTTACCTATTGCGTGACGAAATCTGGAACTGAAATGCGAGTGGGAAAAGGTCGACCAAGTAATCTTGAAGTTGAACTTGCTGCCAAACGTCAACGCCCAATGTCTGCTCTAATACCGCCGCGCGACATTCGCTTGGTTAATGTTGGGCATTTACCTGAATATATCAAAGAAGGAAAGCCGCCATGTAAGAATACGAAATATACTTCCCGTACAAAGGTACGATGCCAAAAAATGTGGGATACATTTGTGTCTATCAACTAAAAAAAAACTGTTTCGCTGAGTTTCATCAAAACTAATTGCCATTTTGGTTCAAAATTATTTTTGTTTTTAATTTGTATGTCCGGGTGCCAGCGGTTCTAATACGAACCAATTAGGTATTTTCTACCTAATTCAGGTGAGTTGTGAGAAAATTCGTAGAAGGAACGATGTTCAGAATCCCGAGTTTTATAACATTATTTTTTTTTAGCTAATTTTACTTAGTGAAATGCTACAGTTCAGAACATGTTTTTAGATTTGGAATCTAGTACTATTGGCATATGTACGTGCCAAAGGTAAATTGTAACAAGTAATTTTTAAGCAAAAAAAAACCGACTTTAATTCTCATTTAAACTTAAAGAGTACCGTTAATTTCTTCATTATCCAATGATCGGATCTAAACCAAATTAATATCAGACTACCCCTGAGGTACCACCTTTCCTTTTAAAAAAGAATTATAGAAATCGGTTAACGTGGTCCAAAGTTATGCGGTAACATACAAAAAAAAACATTCCGACGAATTGGTAACCTACTCCTTTTTTGAAGTTGGTTAAAAAGTTTCCACACACCTCAGCAAGTTTTTTGTACTTTTCTCTATGGTATTTATAATGCAATATTTAAAATATTTCATCGATCTTTGTTGGTGATCTTTACAAAACATTCATTTTCGTAACTATGATTCTAAATTAAGTTGACAGATTTTTTATGCGTGAAATCAGTACGTTGAACCTTTTTGTGATGAAAAAATCAGTACTTTTCAGTGCATTTTTATTCAAAGCAAAATTATGAATGTAAGTAACAGATAATACTTTAAAACGCCAGAGTACTTGTTTTTAGCAATATTTTGGTATATAAATAAAATATAGTTCATAAAAAATAAGTGTTATTTATTTTATCATAAGTGTACACCATATATGTAATACTTCTATATTGGTAGTAAGCTAACATCTCAATGTGTAAGCATTCCGAAATCAAAGCGAGACAGTCTAGTACTGTTTTTGTCAATGTATTGTG